CATGAATGTCACTATTGCCATCACAGTCAGGCCATTGGTAGTTGTACAAATTGATCAGGCCTTCGATGGTGTTTCTCGTGTACAGTGGAGAATATACATTTATTCATTTCATTACTTATATTTGGATGTAATGTGTGAAATGTCGGTAAATATGAAGGAATTAATGTTCGAAGTGCCCACCGTCGTTTTGGCTACAGAAGAGAATTCGCCGAATGGTGTTGCGAGCATTTTCTGCAATGTCTCCAACAAAATCTGCCTATATTCGTTCACAATGTTCTCTTTCAGTTCAGCCAGGCTTTTGGGTTTGGTTCTATTAACTCAGCGCTTCAAATATCCCCATAGGAAAAAATCCATGGGATTCAGATCCGGTGATCGCGCAGGCCACTCTATCGGTCCTCCGCAATCGATCCAACGTCCATCGAATGTTCCGTTCAGGTAGACACGGACCGATTGCGCCGAATATGCAGGTGCGCTGTTATTCATTAACCCTTCCGACTGTAGCTGCGGAATGACGCTGCTCTGCAACATTTCCAGGCAAGAGGATGCTAGTAAATATCAGACATTGGTGCAGTTAAACGACAACCTACTGGACACATTGCTAGAAAAGAAAAAGCACCACATTGCCAATGGTTGGTCGTTGTCCAAACATGTTTGGTATCTTCGCCATGCAGATGGAACACCGCCTTATCGGTGAACAAAATGGAATTCATGTCCACTGTTTAAAAGCAACAGGCGAATTCCAGACACTTCTGTTAATCGCATGCGTCCAACAATTGCACTTCCAGTGCACTTTACCGCGCAGGGATATTTTTACTTCAATATCCGATGCACAGCATGCGGTGTGGATTTGCAATGTTGTGCGAATTGCCGAATGCTGCATACCTCTTGCGCAACCGCGCAAGCTGATACTTCATCCGGGCAAGTGAGCGACCGTCCGTTTGTTTGATATTGGAAACATCTAATTCGTTGATAGTTACCGACATTTCACACATTACATCCAAATATAAGTAATGAAATGAATAAATGTATATTCTCCACTGTACACGAGAAACACCATCGAAGGCCTGATCAATTTGTACAATTACTAATGGCCTGACTGTGATGGCAATAGTGACATTCATGACTGAATTGGTTTGCTGTCCAATGGTGCCACCAGTGCGTCGGGGCAGACTGAAATCTAAGAGCATCGTCACGTCTAGTCAAGTCAACAATTCGTTTTATGCACCCATGACGGGTGACTTTTCACTTGTAACACACATGTGATCGAAACGGTGAAGCGAACAGCACTGTAACCGTCCCGGCAGCGAAAGCAGCCTATTAAAAGCTTACGGGTTTGTTGGAAGCCAGTCATGAGGCAATAACAGCTTTTGTGGCGGCAGCAATACGGCGCCCATCGACCGGTCATCACATACGGCCAGGCTGTTTTTCTCAGTTGCTAGCACAGCGCCCCACTAGCCACTTCGCCGGAAACCCTTTCCCTGGCTTTTCAACTGCGTGAAGGCCGACTACCGATCGATCGAAGGATGACAAGTTCATTGCGGCTATGTAGTGTCCATCTCACGTCCAGTTCTCACGGCTGAACGGCGTGCCTTCCCATGCGGTAGAGGCATGACGTATTCAATGCGGCTGTGGTGTCTGGCTAATGTTCGCTTCACACAGCCGAACGGCTCGATGTGCTTTGCGATCGTAGGCACACATGTGGCGATCGTGTCTTACTTCACCCCTGTCGGCAAAACAATTTGCGCCATTGGACAGTTAGCAATTCAGTGTACCGGTTGTGCGTTAGCACCTGACTGCAGTTGGTCCTAGCTCCGGACCATGTTTCCAGAGCACCCGGTACACTGTGTCAGATGTCATGCCCCTTTAGTCCGTTGTTCTGTGAACATAGTGCACGCCGAGGGTCCTTAACATATATGTTAATTACGCTCTTGGCCGCTCCCCGTGGAACGCATGCGCGGCAGTGAACATGTCCGGAACACGGGGTCACGCCGCCTGGCTTGACCGAGCCCGTTGTAAATGGAGTCAATACGGTTTCACAAGGAGAGCTTGAGCGAGTAAGCGAGATATCCGTTTGAGGAGAGGGTACAAATGAGGCACGGATGACCGGAGTGAACAATGTCGGTCTGATATTCCAAAATACTCTGCAAGGGCCGATCGGTTACCTCATTTTGATGCCACATCAGGCCATTTCGACCGGACGCTGTCTATTGCTTAGAGGTGTAGTGCAAGCCACCGTTTAATCTCATAGTCAACTTCCCAATACGTAAGGAGCAGAAAGATATCAAACGCAGTAGAATGTCTACTACGTGCTCAACCCATTAAAGACGATCGGACTTTCGCGATCATGTTATCCCTTGGTGCATTTCAGCGGCTATTCTGTTAAATTACCCGCATGTGAGGTGTGTGTGGCGGCGTATTTATGCAATCTTTGCGTGCGGACGAATTTGCCCATACATTGCGGACAGTACGAGCTAATGCAGCTAGAACAGAACTTTACCGCAAGAACTTAAGACCTTTATCGCAATTTTATGAGGAACATAGGTGACGCATCATCTGTCCTCTGCACGGCAGTAACGTGTAAGTCAGTGGATAGTGAGCGGCGCTATATCACATCTAGTAACTTATTCACGATGGTCATTGCCGTCCCCCGTAGCTCAGTGGTCTCAACCACGGACTGGCAACAGTCGAGTTGCGGTTTCGAGCCCTACCAAGGGTCCGATGGAACGCGCACTGCTGATGATTCCCTAAAGGATGAAACGCGCGTCCAGTGCTTTTCCGGGAGTGTGGCGGCTGTCTGAGTGAGCCTAGATGTGACGAAATTCTACCTATACCATACAACTCCCCCTACTACTCTTCTGGAAATGCTGATTGCTCTGTTATCGTTTACATCAAGGGCTATTCGAGCGGTTTTGTGTTACTGGCGCTCACCCACAAACACGTCAAAACACGCGAACGAATCGAGAGTTGTGCAACGCGCACCAAGGTCAGTCAGCCAAGGCAGATGTATGTCAGACCGCCTCTCACGAGCAGCCGCGCGCAGACCGTAAGGTTCAACTACCAAATGTCTCACGGTTGAACGCACACACTCACACAAAGCGGCCGTGCATTGATCGGTGAGCGCTGATACGCGTCCCTAAGTGCCTCGGACACGATGCTCAGTGGATGAGCGGAGCAAAATGACTGTACCTTTGTAATGCTGCAATTTGCAGCAATGGTTACCGGGTAGTTTGGGAGTCCTCAGTTTCTTCTTCCGAATGAGACCAAAAGGTTTCCCGAAAAGCTCCGGATTGATGTGGTTACACACGTAGAACTCGACAAAGAATATGCCAAACTAAGAACTGGAGCAAGAGTATAATCCATACAAGTTGGATCCGAGGAGTGGGAAGCACTGAGTAGAGGTCATCGAACTGGTTGCAACGAGAGCACGCACAGTATTGTGTGCGGAGAATTAGTGTGGCCACAGAGGGCGAAGCGAGAGCTGAGTTAAAGTGCGGCCGTACGGCGTGGGCACGGCCGTTTCGTCCCATTAGGACTCGTTGGCAACACATATCTGCCGGATTCTGCCGGATACGACCGCCATAATGGTTATATGACTGAGATATAGCCCAGTTCATCTTCCACTATCATGCATGTTACAAAGTAGCAGAGAACAGGTCTGGCTCCCAGAGCTACGACTACCTTTGAATGGGTACGAACTCGGCGGGATCCGGCGGGTGACGTTACTGACGAGTTTCAATAGGACGAAACGGCAGTCTAGTGTTTGACTATATGTGCAATGGCTATCTGATTGAACCCACTTGCGGCGACGTTTACTTTGTTTAGTCTTGCGGAAAAATCGAACTAACAACACCTAAAATGTAAGGCACGATACAGCGAAGTTAGCGCAACCAAGAACACGTTCTAAAGCCGTATACTCTGACTTGAAGTAGCAGTGAACAACTCAACCATCTAACGGTTAGTGGTCAAACACCCAACGATCAGTGTAAGTAAAGTCAAGCCAAAAAGTGCTTTATCAACACAAAGCGGGTGAATAATCAGCTGAGTTCTGCACACGCAAAAGCGCAAGACCTCATTGGTTAATTCTCCCAGTCGTTCGACAAATGAATAACTAAATTCTTCACTACTCGACAGTGCGAGAGATTGTTCCTGCATGAACACAACTCAACAATGATCGCATAATCTTGGTTGAACAAGGACGTTTATGTCATGAAAATTAACTTGTACGACAAGTCGCATGTTTGGTATGCTACAACAGAAGGCGAATGAAAGTACTTCACTGTTATGAAACAGACCTCCGATGCGTAGCCACGGGTGATCGTGGGAAAAGTGTTACTGCCACTGGTAAATGTTAAGCATGGCCAAAAAGCGATGGCGCAGGTTCTGTGGTCGTAGTTTATTCACTCAGAGAGCAAGATCAGAAACGGATTGCACGATGGTACCCCTTTGAAGATCGTAGTAAACCGGATGTTTTGTTATGTCGTCGTGGTTAATTATCTTAATGGAAGCGTTAGCGTCCACCAGCAAACGGTTTAGAGCTTGCTGCCAAGTGTTACGCCATGGCGTTTCTCAAGACATCCTTGTAGATGCTCTCACCAGTCTCAGTACGCCGAATCCCCAGTCAATACTTGATACTGTGGTCATCATCACGGAACACAGTTGCCGCGATAGTTATAAACACATCATTTGGCCATAGTGACCAAGCGACCATGTATTTTGTATCTACCCACTCTGTAAGATGGCTCGGAGAAGAGACTGAGCTGGTGCATATCAATAGGCGCTAAGGTTTATCATCAAACTCTAGAGAAGCTCCCTGAAACTTCCTGGTTGTATAAGCCCCAAGAATCGTCCGGTATTTCCTAAGGCACTGGAATCGAAATCTTATTGTCGCCATTCCAAAGATATACATGAAGCTTTTAAACAGCCAGAGAAATAGTCGTATTATCTTCTGTGCCAACTGAGACCGGTTCATAACGATAGTTCAGTCCCCGGAGCAGGCTTACCTGAAATCTTCCATTGTGCAGTCGTAGATAATCCAAAATCCGACCTGATCGCGCACGTGCACTCGACCCTCTTCGTGGAAGTAGAAGTCGTCGTGATTGTCCACTTCAGCGAATTGTATAAACTCAGTTTCTTTTATCCTGAATAAGTAGATAAAGTGGTATAGAAGTGTATCAGCTGTGAAACATTTGCATTCAGTCATTCGGCATTGCTTTGTAGTGCACGAAAGGAGATGCATGGTGACATCTAGTTCTGCGTTCCCCCCATAGCATTAAGCAAGAACATTGTGGTACATACTAGTGAAAAGCGGAGGTGTTATTTGGCTATTTCCCAAAAGTCAAGCGATTTGAACAGCAAATGGAACATTTGTCATTTGCTAAACCATCAGCTCCCAATGGGACAATGGTAGTATACCGGTCAACTAAGCCAAGGCTAGATGGTCTGTGTGTAATACATAGGTTCAACCGAAACTGACAGCAAAGTAAACCACCTATTTGTGGACTCCCCATACTCTCCATGCTAACACATATGGACATGTTATCAGTCGATGAGCGGAATTCATATCGCGTAATACAGATGGTGTCAATTCGTTATTTTATTGAACGACGCGTGTGCACAAATGTCAGAAGTCAGAAGAGCGCTCAATAGTTGATAAATTTCGAGGAATAAAAGTTCTGGTGACCTTCCAACTGGACATGTTGTGCGGCCAGCTTCAGTAGCTGGCGGCACAGGTGAGTGAGGTTTATCAAAAGCTGGTAGGTCAGGATTTGGTCACCCCGTAGCTGGCGATACTTTCCACTGTACCCTCCTTTCATTCGTGGTTACCATGGCAGATGGAACGAACACCTACCGTTTTTCTTGGTCCTTCGCCGTAAGAGATCTCCAGTGCAGCCAGATCGCGTTTTAACCTGAATGGCGTAGTCCACATGGGGCTTCATTAAGACATTGGAAATCTGCGGTAAGATGGAAGAGTCAAACCACACGAACACCCTCTGTAAGAGACTGACATGTTAGTTGCTGGTTTTAGAAACCCTCGCGGTTGTTCCGAAGAGCCGAGGTCATTTTGGTATCACCATCCCAAGCTCGCGCTCCTACATTAAAGTCTACAAAATGTGATCTCCCAGCCTATATAAGTCGTTGGTTTTGGAGCAAGCATACACTACTTTACATTTATCCGCGTGTGCCGAAGTAGATCGGGTTTTGACTAACCAAAGCAATGACCAGGTCTCGTTGCAGCATTTCGTGATCCTTCTGATTACTGATCGTCCATTATATCTTGATATCATTGTCAAAAGCCAGAAACTGTCATCAATGACATACACGAAATTGTTAGTGAAGACCAAGAACAAGCGTGGCCCCAACACTGACCTTTATGAAACACCGCATTCCATCTCAATAGCATCGGACACTGAACCCTGAATCCTAACCTTAAGCTGTCGCTGAAGAAGGAAATTTCTAATCCACACAAGGACAGAATTCCAAATGCTGCATGTTTGTAGCTTTTGGAGAAGAATTCGGTGATCTAACTGATCGAAGGTTTAAGAAATTTCCGATTCTACTATCCGCCTGTTCAGTTCAACAGCCACGCGTGATCAGTAAGTTGGTAGTATAGGATCGGTGTTGACGGAAGCCGTTGTTCCGTACCATATTTCTAAATATTCCATTATTCCATCAGGAATTAACAACTTTATCACCTGAGAGGAGCATCATTGGGCGAAACTTGGTGTGTTCCGAACGGCTACCACCCTTGAAAATTGGGACAATGAGATCTTGCTTCCACACGTTAAGAACTTGCTGTTCATCCAAGTATGTTTAAAAGAATCGGATTAATGTCTCGGCTATCCTCGCTGCAGTCACTTCGAATGCTTTCGAGAGAATGTTGTCAATTCCGGGGGAACTTTGGGTGTGCAATGATAGCAGGTTCCTCAAAACTGTCGCTGAACTAAAAGTGACCTGGGTACAAGCCTGCGCCTGGGGGAATTGGACAGGTATGTGACCCATGCTGGCCGCGCATCATAGAACATCTGCTGCATGCTCGGCACTTTGAGCGCATCCGTTTCCGGAGATTAGGGGAAGAAGCCCACGCTCAAGTTTCTGGGCACGCTAGACACCGTTGGCATACTGATTTGTCCTCACGACAAGGATGGTAGAGTAATTAGGCCGTACCCAATTTTGGCTCCAATTTTCAAGACTAAGGTTTGCTCTGTGCACAAGCCCCACTGCGTCTCTTACCGCCATGCGTTTTCGGCTTCTGTTCCGGATGGATGATGGTGCTCTTGCGGACCAAGAAGGCCTGATTTCCGAAGCGGATATGATCAGGCCACTGAACTCACCAACAAAAGCTATCCGGGTATTTTCAATAGAACCATAATTTAAAAACACCTAGCAAGTTTCCCGGACAAGTTCTGTTATTAGGTCGTAAGGTGTGAATGTACGAAACAAGTCAAAATGTCTTTGTAGATACTTCACATAACAGCCGTGAAGTATGGTTAAATGATCACTCAGTCCTAGAGAACTTTCTATCGTTGCATTAACGATCATGATCCCTAAGTTTATAAGCCCAAAATCAAGCATTGATGGTTATTTAACGCTATGAATCTGGTGAGCAAATTAGATGGCTGAAGAGCGGAATACTAGTAATAAGCTCTTGCAGGTCGGCGTTGAACTGCTCATTGGGGGATGCAGAAGACCACTTGGCTAGCTTAGAACACGCATTGAAATCAAATGGACTGTCGGACGAGTCCCAGCAACAGATACGGCAGACTGTTGTCCCAGTGCTTACTCGGAATAAAGTCACCCAGACCCTATCCAAGGAGGAACAGGATGCGCGCAGACGTTTACAGAAAGACGAGAACATTGTAATCCTACCAGCGGATAAAGGGCGCATGACAGTTATAATGGACAAACCGGATTATATTCACAAGGCCAAAGAACTGCTATCAGACGCAACTACATTTCGCCAGATCGATCAAGATCCAAGTTCAAAACTGGTCAACCAGATTAACGCAACGCTGAAGAAACTACAAACAAAGAACGAGCTCACCGCCACAGAGAGAGGGAGAATGAAAGCGGATGATACAAACATTGCACTGTTCTATGAATTACCAAAAGTACACAAAGATGGAGTCCCACTACGACCAATCGTCTCGCTCCCCGGAACCCCGTCATATAAACTAGCAAAGGATTTGTGGAAGAGGTTGAAACATTTGGTTGCCGGATCCGAACATAGCATCAACAATGCTGAACAATTCCTCAAAAAACTGCAAAGTGTCAGAATAGAAGACGACGAAATAATGCTTTCATTCGATGTCACCGCACTGTTCACTTCAATCAGTCATGAATTGGCCAAAGAAACCATGCTGGAACTACTTGAGAAACAACTAAGCCCCACAACTACCATACGACCTGAAAGCTTTTGGGAACTCCTGAACCTCTGCATGACTACTTATTTCCGCTTCGATGGACAAGTATACCAGCAACTGAGAGGAACCCCCATGGGATCACCAATTTCGGGGCTCATTGCAGAAGCCGTAATGCAGAAATTGGAGCGCATTGCAATGCCATCCATCAGCCCGAAACTCTGGATACGATACGTGGACGACACCTTTGTCATCGTAAAACGGAACAGAGTACATGCCACTCATGCTTTGCTCAACAGCGCATTCGAGGATATCAAATTTACGCTTGAATTAGAGGAGGATAACAAGCTACCATTTTTGGATGTACTGGTCACCAGGAATACAGATGGATCTATGGAAACGTGCGTATATCGGAAGAAAACGCATACGGATCAGATATTAAACTACTACAGCAATCACCCGATGAATCACAAGAACAGCTGCATTCAAACCTTGTTCAAGAGAGCGGAAACACACTGCAGCACAGCCGAATCGCGGAAACAGGAAGAGCATCACCTATATCGAGTGTTTAGAAACAACGGTTATCCGAGAAGTTTCATCAGAAGAAGCTTAAAGAAACGAATGCCTCAGCAACAGCAGCAATCATCTGATCAACCAAACAAACGGATAGTGCTGCCCTACATCAAGAACGTCTCCGAACTAACAGGAAGATTGCTGCAATCACATGGAATCTCTGTGGCTCACAAGCCAAGTGCCACCCTAAGGAAATTGATCTCAAGACCCAAAGGAAAAGTCAATGAAGCCGACCAATGCAATGTCATCTACCAGCTAAAATGCAGTGACTGCGATAAAGTCTACGTCGGACAAACTGGAAGAAAACTTTGTACAAGAATCACCGAACACAAGGCGGCCGTCAGAAGGCACGATCCACACACATTGGTTTCTGCGCATGAAGATCAAGAAGGTCACCATTTCGATCTGGAGAGTGTAAAGATCCTAGCACATGGAAGTACAAAACACGAGAGGGAATTTTTGGAAGCCTGGTACTCTACAACGCATGCAATCAATCGACACATCGAACTTGACGCAGTATACGCCACGCTACTGACGAAGGACCGACAACTCGATCGATTGAATCCGGTGAAACGTGTGACTAGACAACCCGAACTGGCGGCAGACTAGCTCGCATGAGCAAGCGGACAAAGGAGTTGAGGTCAAGGTCATCTGCCCATTAAGCAAGCTGAACACGGATCGAAGTCCCAACCAATAGGATTGCTCGGATCCGCGGCCAACCACGACGGTATAAAAACGCACGCACGCCACGCTCAGCGCGCTCTCACCGAGGCTCCTCTACGCTACTCTACGCTATTGCACGCCACTCCACTACGCACTGATGATGTCACCTCGATTGGTGACGAAACGTTTGCAACAAAATTGCCAAGCTCAGCGAACAGTTCAACAGCCACCTACTAGAATATTGAAGTCACCTGAGATGGGAACGTGGTTGCATCGTGGTCGCGGTACCATTCCCGAGGCCAATGTCAGGCGGGACTCCGTCTCTGGAGTGGATGTTGGGGGATGATAAACAATTACTGCAAGGCTGTTTCGTTGCGCACAATTCGCAGATGACACCAGAGTGAGTCTATGGATCGGCCACGGATTCGCACTGTGGCGGGGGTATTAAATCGGCCGTTGCCTTTTTCGCCGAACACCACTTTTACCTTATCTACTATATTTATCTCAGTATTGCAGGATTACACCGACAGGTACTTTGTTAAATC